GCGGTCTTTCGGCACTGTTTTACATTGGACTTGTTTTTTTTTTTAGGGGATGAAGACTTTACCAAAGAGATAACAGAGCTGTTTTCCCAGCTGCATGTCTCCTCCAAGCCAGAGAAACTTGCCAGAGTAAGTCATTACTTCTTGATGATTTCCAGTTTTTTGCTTGTACAGATTTAGTGGGTAAAGAAGGTAAGATGACAGTGATGTCAGCAAAATTGAGGGTATGTTCTGAGTTCCACACCTTCTGCCTGCCTGCTGCCCTCACAGGTAAACATGCCGAACTCACACCTGCACCCCTCACCCTTCCCCTGGAGCACACACATCTGCCACCCTCACCTGTTTTCATTTGGAATGCTTTGTTTGTCTGGAAGCTTACATTAGGCTACAGAGTTGGACAACTAAAGTTGGAAGTGCTCACCAGCCTTCACGATACCAATGGGCTGGCCTCTATTGAGGTCTTACAGTTCTCAGGGCTCGAGATAATGGGATGCAGGCCCTGCCCTTAGGAAGCTGGAGGTTACCATTTCCTAGAGCTCAGTGGTTCAGATAATGACCATGTACCCTGTAGAAATGAGAGTCCCATGGCCTAGGTCGTGGTCTTAGGTGGTGATGCCTGAGCTGCCTTTTTACATCTGGAACATGGAGGGACTTTAGTCAAAGCTCAGAGTGGGTAGGGAGGGCCTGTTCCCAGAGCAGTACCACATAGCATATATGCCAGTGCCAGCTCAGGGGACACTCACTAGTCACTGTGTCTTGGGCTGCTTGCTGCCTCTTCACCCTCCTCTCCCAATCTCGAGAAACATTTCAGAACCAGTCAGCAGACTCGCATTGCTTCCTGGCCAGGGAGAGTCATCAGAGTCATCACCTTCGCTTCCATACCCCAGGGTAAGGAATAGGATGCTTGAGTGATGTTATCCTATTCTCCCATGCCCAGTGAAAATGCTGCATTCTCCAAGGAAACTTTTCAGACCACCTCCCTGCAGTTCATCGCCCTCATCTCAGCTGTAGTAGCACTTTACTACAGCACTTTCAGCTTGTATCACAATATTTTTTGTTGTGGAAATAATATCTAACTTAGAGAAAAGTAGCAAGAATAGTACAAACAATATTCATATACCTTTATGCAAATGTACCTATTGTTAATACTTTATTTCATTTGCTTAATCATTCATGCTTGCCCATGTATTCCTATCCCTTCTTCCTCACTTTTCTACTACACACACACACACACACACACACACAATTATGATTATTATTATTACTATTACTGGGACTATTTTTGAGAGTAAATTATAAACATTATTTCCCTTTGCACCTAAATATTTTAACATGTATCTCCTAAGACTATGGATATTCCCTTACATAGTCACAGTAGTTAACCAACTGCAGTAACTTGAACATTGAGACTAGACTTTGTTTAATGTGTTGTCCACATCCCAGTTTTGTCAGCTGACCCAACAATGTCCTTTATATCAATTTTTTCCCTCTAACGTTAGAACTAGTACATGATCATGGATTGTATTTAGTTGTCGTATACTTTTAGTCTCTTTTAATCTGGTGTTAATAGTTCCTCTGCCTTCCTTTGTCTTTTATGATATTCCATTTTTGAGAAATACAAGTTTCTTCCTTCTTTTATAGAAACAGTGTTTCTTATTTTGACGTTTGTCTGATGTTTACTCGTGATTAAAGTCAAGTTATACATTCTCAGCCCAAGGACCTCATAAGTGATGTCTCCTGCCTAGAGTATCACATCTAGAGGCACACGATACCCATCTGCCCCTTGTTGTGATGCTGTCTGACTTCTCACCGTATAGTTATGACTTTGTCGTGTGCTACTAATAGGCTTTCTGTGGGGAGATATCTTAAGACCATAGAAATACCCTGCTCCTCATTATAATTTCCCTCCTAGATTTAGCATCTATTTCGTGATCCTTGCTGCAGCAGTCTTTGTTGTGATGGTTGCAGAATGATTTGCTTTAACCCCCACACATGCTCCACATTTACCAGTTGGTTGTCCACATTCTACTTTAGTTAAGAAAAGCTCTCCCTTCTCCCCTATTCTTTTATTTATTATCTATTTGTTATTAGTATGATTTCATGGATTTCTATTTTCCCCCCATTGATTTATAATTCATTACTGTCCTCAATAATTTTTGTGTTCAAATTATTTCAAGCTGACTGCTATGTGACATGCCCCCATCATTTTTTGAATATTTCCTTATTTTCTGTCATAACAAGATATTCTAGACTCACCTTGTACCTCCCATATTCTAGCCCTGGAATCAGCCATTTCTTTTAGGAACCATGGTTTCTTTTTGATGGTGTAGCCCAAAACTTGGACGTTAGATGTGCTTATTGCTTCTGTGGTACCTTTGCTTCTAGGCCCTGTTGGCAGAGCCAGGAGATACATTCAGGAACACATGCATACACCTATATGTGTATACATGTAAATGTGTATTATGTAGTATGTATATATGTATGTGCACATGTATACATATTCATATTTAGAGATCCTGGGTTCACACTGATAACTCCAATTTCAGTTCATCTCTACAGGGTTCTTCCTTGCCTTTCCCCATTACATGTTTGCATCTCTGTTCTTCATAGTAAGAACCATCTCCAACATTAGAACATTTCCTTATGTTGTCAGTCCTGTAATGCATCTGAAATGGTTTCATTGCTTTGCCCATAGTACTATAAAACCAGCCTACAAAAAGAATTTGTGATTTCGTGTTTCCTTATGTATGTTAATTTTTGAATATATAGAATAGTAACAAGTTTCCAAAAATAAAAACTACAAAAAATATACTCAGAGAATGGTCACTCACTCCCAAGTCCCATTTACTCCATTCTCCCTTCTCCTTTTAAGTATTAAACTTTCTTATTTTCTTGCATATCCTTCCTGTGTTTCCTTTTTAGATAGGTAGATATGTTTTAAAGATAGGCAGATATAGCAATATTTTCCTATCTCCTTCTTATACGAATGTTAACATACCCATTTCTTGTGTTGTACCCTGAAGATTGTGCATTTTACTGTATGTAAGTTACATCTCAGTTTAAAGAAAGCCAAAGGGTTAGAGCATTCAAGAAGGAATGAGTGGGCAACAGTGTTAAGTGTTGTAGAGAAATCTAGTAAGTTAAGTGCTGAAACACTAGATACTATGTTTGGATGTGAACAGAAGCACCAACTTCCGTGATGCTAACATGTTCCTGGTAGATGCAGAGTGACCTTGGTGAGCTGAATTGAATTTTCGATGGACAATAATATTTTTCGTATTTAGGCAAGAAATACAGCCTATGAATGGATCAGAACGTCTCTGGCCAAGCCATTAGAAGAGAAGGAAGAAGGAGAAAACCAGTTGGAAGGAGAAAAAACTGAGCAAATCAATAAAAATTCAATAGAGGTAACCAAAGCAAATAATGCTTTTTTTTTTCTTTTTCTTTTTTTTTGTTCAAATCAGGGACCCTAAGTGCCTTAAAGTTTGTTTCACTGCCATCCATAATTTCTACCTTATCTTCCAAGATTGTAAGTGGCATCTTAGTTTCTGACTATAGGATGAAAGGAGTGAAGAAAAAGGACAGAGGGTACATGTGTGATGTCATGCCACAAGGCACTTTAAATCTTTTGGCTAAAACTTAGTTACATGGTCACACCTGCCTTCAGGGCAGCCTCTGTTTTTGTAGCTATGAGTCTAGCTGTGAAGTTATATTACTACTATGGAAGAAGAGGCTTACCAAAGGGCAGCTATTAGTCTCTGTTGCTTTCAAGATATTGAATCCTTCAGTGTGAGAGAAGCAAGGTGGAGTCATTTCCTCTGAGATACAAAAAAAAAAAAAGCCAGTGCTTTGTTTTGTTTTTCCATCCAGGATATCCATGCATTTGCAATCCGGAGCCTAGCGGAACTGACTGCCTGCTCAATTGAACTGTTTCACAAAACAGCGGCTCTGGTTCTGCATGGCCAGAAGCAGGAAGTGACAGCCATAGAGCGGAGCAGAACCCTTTCCCAGTAAGTGCAATGAGTATCCCTCTAAGTGATGCAAATTGCTGAAAGGGTTTTCTTGGCTTATTTCCAAAGTTTTAGAAACTTTCCTGTCAACAAGATGCTATTCATACTGCACCATTCACATATTAGAGGCTTTTTTATTTGGGGTTTTTAGTTAATAAATCGCCAAGAGTGGTATTTCTTATCATTGAGCCATAAGTCTATATTATAAGTCTGCCCTTTTTTATTAACCACTTCATCATACTCTGAAAACTAGTTCTTCTTAGATTATTGGTCTTAACAGGAATAGAATTTTGCATAAGTAAAAACAGAAAGTAGTACTAGGAACCTCAGTTGTTAATAATATTTATATGCCAGGCATGGTAAGGGATGTACATGAATCATTTCTAATTTTCACAACAGCCCTAAAGGTAAATGATTAGTACAGCTTTAAAAATGAGGGGACACAGACTCAAGAGAATTTAAGTAATTTTCCCAGGTTGTACAGACAGGGATTTAAACCCAAGTCTGGCTGAGAACCAAAATCCCTTTTTTTCACAGTATTGCTGATTTTGAACAGAAGTTTAAAAAATAATAGAATGTAGGTAGACACAGGAGAACAAAAAGACCTACTACTTTCTAAATCCCTTAATTAAATAACGAGAATTTTCCTTGGAAAACATGTATGTGAGAGCGTCCAGTGTGTTAGGATTGGGAGGGGCCTTGGATGTTCTCTAGACCTCTTCACCTACAGTTTCGCTGCCCCTTTGTAACATCCCACAAGGGAGGTTTGGTTTTGTCTTGAACATCCTTAGGATGAAGGACTCAGAACCCCAAAGCAGCCCATTCTGTGGGGAAGCAGCTATTTCTGCTGCTCGGAATGCTCTTCCAGTTAGGCCCACTCCCTCACCGAATTCAGATTTCCATTCAGATGCTGCCTTCTCTCACTGCCCAACCTAAAATGGCATCTTCTACTAGCTCCTAATCCTTTACTTGCTTTATTTTCTTAGCTCATATCACCACCTAGTGTACACGTATGGATATGGACATGTGTGTGTGTGTATGTATATCTGTGTATGTAAATATACATATACACCTACATGTACAGTATATGTGTGTGTGTATGTAAACACACACACACACATACACCCATCTATGTATACATATATAGCGTCTCCCTTAAGTGGCAAGTAAGTTAGATAGATTCCATGAAAACTGGGACTTGGCGTGTTTACTGATTTCCCCAATGCTTAGAACCTGGTGCAAAGGAGACTTTGAGAAAATATTTAATGAATGAATGAATGCATATTTATTTTAACTATTTCTAAATGGAATGTAGTATCTTTTAAGTGCTTTCTTGCCTCCTTAAAATATATTTTAGTTATTTCCTTTAACTTGAAAGTATGTTACTTTCTAGAGGATTTTGTAGAGTAATGTTTTTCCAAGGAGTGAACCTCCTTTTCCTGTAGCATGAATGCCTACTCAGGTGGGTCCCCAAATACATGAAGTAGCTGACATAGGCATATTGATTCCCTTTAAAAGCTTTCTTTCACATTTAGTATGCAGAGTGATTTGTTTTCCTCTGACAGTTGTTAAATATAGCTTATTAAAAAAAGAGAAAGAGGAAGAAAAACAAGCAAAGAACCCTCCTGACTTTTCTCCCTTCTTTTCTAGGATGACACTTGTATTGTGTAAAGAGTTGTCCTGTCTGTCTAAAGAGTTCACCACCTACCTAACAACTGCTGGGGTAAGAATTCACTAATGTCTGTTTTGTTTTGTTTTTAAAAACAGCTTTATTAAGATATAGTTTATATACCATTACATTTGCCCTTTGAAGTGTACAATTCAATGGTTTTTTAGTATATTTACAGAGCTGTGCAACCATCACCATAATCCAATTTTAGGCCATTTTCATCATTCTCCAGAAAACCTCATACCATTTGCAGTCACTCACCATTCTTTTCACCTTCACACCCTACTTTCTGTCTAACGATTTGCTTATTCTGGATATTTAATATAAGTGGGATCGTACAATAATATGTAATATTTTGTTTGATTTCTTTCCCTTAACATAATGTTTTTGAGATTCATCCACATCGTATCAGCACTTCCTTTTTATTACCAACTAATACTCTCTTTTATTAATATATATCATATTGTATTTATCTGTTCATCAG